AAGAAGCAATGGGCTTAAATTTCAGCAAGGGCAGTTTAGGTTGGACATTAGAAAAAACTTCTTAACTGTCTGGGTAGTTAAGCACTGAAATTTCCTAGAGATGTTGTGGAATCTCCATCAGAGGAGATTTTAAGCAGGTTAGACAAACATGTCGGGGATGGTCTAGATAATACTTAGTCCTGCCTTGAGTGCAAGGTCTGACCTGGTGTGCCTGGGGCAGCCCTCACTGAACATGCCAAGGTCAGGGCAGGCTGCAATAGGGAGAACAGGTACTCCCAAGACCAGTGGGTAACATTGAAGTTAAACTCCCCAACCAGTCACAAACTGTGCTTCTGATCCCCCACGCTGGTTATCAAGAATCAGAAAAAGAATCACACAGCCCCCTTTATTGCATTCCAGTTTTCTGGCTCCCAATCAGGACCTAGGTCCAGTACAATGAGAAGTTATTTAAAAAACTCTGCTCACATATACAAAATGTTCTTCTGACCTCAAAGGGTCAGCCACATTACCAGGTCAGTGTAGATTTGGATTTTACCCAAAATACCATGCTGCCAGCCAATCCTTTAGTGCCTAAAGCTAAAAGTTTATTATAAAGAAAAAAGAACGAGAGATGTTAAAAACAATCACATACAAGTACTTCAAAGTCCATCCATCTAGCAGTATTGGTGAGTTTGCTGGCTTGAAAGTCCCTCTGGACACATCCACAACTTGGATGGGTCATTCAGTCCTTTGTTCAGATCTTCAGAAGTTTGTAGGAAGGTTACTCCAGAGGTAAGAAGCAGGATTGAAGACATGAAGCAGGACTGAAGAGAAAATGGAGAAGATGCAGCCCTTTTATAGTGTTTTTGCCATGTGTCTGGTACTTCCTTTGTTTCAAACACACTCATAGCAGATAGCACATGACTTTGAAAGGCCTTAGAGTTCTTTCCACAGGCATGCCCCTGCATGCCTTGCTGAGTCATAAGGTGTATCCCTTGCCTTCTATCAGTTGCATAGCTGATGTCCCTTAATGGGCTGTCAAACAAGCTAGGCAGTGCTAATGCCAATCTGTCTGGGTGTGTCACTCAGATGCACAGCACAAGTTTGGAACTACAGACATACCATACATATAACTTACAATACAAAGGTGATACAAACACATAAACTAGATTATCATAACCTGGCAAATTATAACATTTTTGCAGATACTTTACACGGCATATCTGGCATAAATCACTGCAATTTTACAATATTGGTATTCATAATATCCTAAAGTGTCCCCAGGATTCCATACAGCGTCACACAGGGGACTGGACTAGCAGACCTCTTAAGGTCCCTTCCAGTCCTGTGATTCTATAAATCAAGTGAATAAAGCAGCAAAATTTCAATGTCTCTTGCATTTAATTAGCTAGAAAAAGTAAATTTGGAACTTGAAGCATTTTGGTTAAATAGGCAAAGTGAGATGGTTAATAGAAATTGGAGAAAAGTTAGAATTTTAGCAGATTCTCAAAAGCTCTGTGAAAACAGGATATTGCCTAAAGCCAAGAAAAAAATTCTCAAAGATGAGCTGCAAAAAATCTTTTAAATCAGGCTTGTATCAATATTTTATTCATTATGTTGTAAAGGTTTTAATTTTGTAAAATTTCTTTTTTTTCCACTTTAAATGCAACAGCCTCCCCTTCAAAAGAACAGTGACATTCCTGATATTTCTAAGACAGAGCCCTCCTTTTTATCAGAATGTTAGTAATTTGAGTTTAAAACAGATTTTACAACTCTTGGAGTTTTACCACTGACTTCAGTGGGAGCAGTTAGGCCAGCCCTGAGCACTTTTGGAAATCCAGTACCCAAATATGTAGGCCTCTGTAAATACCTCACTGAGGAAGCAGATTCTGCAAACAATAGAAAGGCTGAGCACTGAAAATCTCCATCATAATTGCTTTAAATATTTTTGGCATTCAAGTTTCTAAACTGGCCTTAAGTGACATGAGAAAAGTAAACCTTACATAGTGCTGTTAGTTTCACCTACTCCCTACTTAGGTCAGTCTTGGACGTACATTCTAAACGCAGTGACTGAGAGGCAGACTTTAAAAAAAAAAAGTTTTTGTTTTTTTTACCTGCAGTTTCTTCAGATTAGAACTGTTTTTCAGGCAGTTTAACATTTGTGTTATCCTTCATTTGAGCCCACTACTGTTAATTGGTGAGGCACACAGTCATAGCTTATTTTCATGGATTAGCATCTTTTTTTTGTTTGTTTGTTTTTTGGACTAGTTCAGGGGTGGGCAAACTTTTTGGGCCGAGGGCCACATCTGGGTGGGGAAATTGTATGCAGGGCCAGGGCAGCGGTGTGGGAGGGGGTGCGGTGTGCAGGAAGGGGCTCAGGATAAGGGATTGGAGCAGAGGAGGGGTGCGGGGTGTATGAGGAGGCTCAGGAAAGGGAGTTGGGGTGCAGGAGGGGGCTCAGGGCAGGGGTGCAGGAGGGGTGTGGACTGCGGGAGGGGGTTTGGCAGGGGGTTGGGGTGCAGGAGGGGGCTCAGGGAAGGGGGTTAGGGAGCTCAGGGCAGGGGGTTGGGGTGCAGGAGGGGTGCGGGTTGTACAAGGGGGCTCAGGGCAGGGAGTTGGGGTACAGGAGGGGTGCGAGGTGCAGGCAGGGGACTTAGGGCAGGGAGTTGGGGGGGCAGGGTGCAGGAGGGATTCAGGCTCCATGGGGTTAGTTAAAGTTTGACCAACTTCTTCTGCTGATGGCCTGTCATTTTATTTAGGTTTACTTGCATGTGTCTTTTCAGGAAATACTAATTGGAATCAAGATTTTTCATCTCAAAGACCTGAACAGGAACAATTTACATCACAATTGGATGCAAACACTTCATTCACCACTGCCAGTTCATATAGTTACCAAACAGGTGATGGATCATCCTCATATGGACTAAAACCTAATGATTCTGCAACAATGGCTGCACTCAGTAATTCATTTGCCCTTCAGACGGGAGGCTTTGCTACTGGGATCAATGAATGGCTGAAGCAATTCAACCAATCTGCTTCTGTATCCTCCCAGTCCACTTCAGTTGGAGGCACCTCTCCCTACTTCACATATTCAGGGAGTGGGTATTCAACAGAATACAAGTCTAATAGTGCCCAAGGAAACAAAACTACGGCACCTGATAACAGAATGGCTTATGGTGTTGGAGGTACAAATTGGAAGAGTCAAAGAGCATTTCCAAATACAAGGAATTTACCTGACCAGAGATCATCCTATTCTGCTTCCTCTGCTACATATCCTTCATCTGGAGGATATTCGACAAACTACCCTTTACAAGGCTGTTCATCTTACTACAGAGGTGGGTCTTCAAATTCCACTTCTTCATCAAGAGGTGGTTCTAGTTGGTCAGAAGAATCAAGATATCAGAAATCAAATTTCAAGACTGATTCGGCCTCATTTCGTTCCTCCTCTTCTGTCCACAATTCATACAAAGATTACCAACAACAAAACAGAGAGTCAGATAAGATGTTTGATGAAGATGCCAGTGGTCTTACTCCCAACATTCTGCATAGACTTCAAGGAAAGGATGTACCTACAATGACCAGAATGCTCAAGCAGCTGACTCCATATTATCCAGCACTTCAAAGTAAGATTGTGAAGATTTTAACCTTAGTAAAGCCTTGCTGGCCTAGTTTGTAGTGTGAAGTGCTGTGAAGCAGTAGTCAAAGGTTCAAACTATGCAAGGGCTGAGGTGGCTTGTTCAGTTGTGAGGGTCGCTTTTGGGTTGACTTCCCTCAACAGCACGTTTGCAGCTCAAGATTGGCATTAATATTGCTCTGAAGGGAGCTCAGCTTAACACTAATGAGGACTGATAGAATTGTTTTGGTGATGTGGTTGTGGGAAAGTGATGTTATGAAATGGGAGAGAATCCTACCTAATTGGGGGGGGGAGGGAGGGAGAACTTTGGTCTGGGCCGTCTGGCTGTCCAGGTTCCAAATTTCATGAAGCAGCCAGTGTGCTTCAGACTCCAGCAAATAGTACCACAAGGGTGGCTGCTAAAGAGAGACTGAGTACAAATAACTGGGTTGGGGGAAATCTAGCATTGGAGATAATAGTAGAGAGACATGCAAAACGTGTGTCAAACACACTTGGGGATAATTTTTTTAATAGTAAAATATTTAAGCTGCCAGTTTGATATTGATTCTGACTGCTGTTATGAGATGGTAATTTGTCAGTTATTTTGCATTGATATCTACACAAATAAGCATTATGAATTGCAGTTTCTTTTAAATAGTAGAAAAATATTCCATTTTAAGAAATGTATTTCTAGAACATTTAAGGCAGAACTGAATTATTATATAACTGGGCCATCATTATGTTGGTGAATTTGCCAGACAGATAATGCAAATTATTCTACTATATTAGAATTAGGAAAGTTAGTTAAGGGAATTAGGAAAGCTAAATCTTTATTTTTTAACATGGTATCTGCTATATGCATTTATGCAAAGTTGCATAAAAATGAACAAATAATTTAAAGATTTTTTTCTTTTTTTCCTTCACCAGAAATCAATATTGAAACATTAGTCAAAGCATTAATTAAAACTAGAGAAATAAATTAAGAAGATAAAACAGCTGAATTGGAACTGATGAACAGAACACTGAAGAATCTTCACTTCAAGTTTTTAGGAAACAAACTCAACAATTTGGTTTTGGATGTGGTTTGTTTGGTTTTGTTTGTTGTTTGTGGAAGGGGGATAGGGTTTATGTTTTTAGTACAGTAAAAATGTAGTTGGAGCACAAATTATTGTCATGGAGATGAATACACTGTTCAGGTATTTTTATGCATTTGTTAAATATTTTTAGTAGATTGCACTGGAAACTCTTGGTTTTTGAGGGGCTGGTTAATATTAATCACCCTTTTCCAAAAAGTTTTTGTATGTTACAATCCATTTAGGAAGAATATTCACTGAAAATAGAGTTCCATTGCATGAAAAATACAGAAATGCATTACTTCACATATAAACCAATGGCCAGTTCTTCTAATTTTAGACTTTATAATGAGTTAGGATACTTCTTAGAAGTGACTATACTGAATTTCTTTTTGGAACACATTAAAATGATGGGCCCTAAACAAAATGTTTCTCCTCCTGTGGACTTAAAATGTGCTCTTAAATAATAAAATGCAAACACTTGTTAGTGGAAAAACTTAACCAATTTTATTTTTAAATTGTAAAAATGCACACAAATATGGAAATACAACCAGAATTCTATTGTGTAGAATAGCATTCTGCATTTTCAGTTTTTATTTGTAAAAATAATAATCAGGGCATTTTGCAGTGTTTATTTTCCAAACATTAAAACCAGAATGAAATTGGGTTAAAATTTAAAAAATAGAAAAATGGGGGGGGGGGACGACGACAAAAAACCCTTTTGTAATATACACATTTTACTACAGTATAAACTTTTTTTAATGTACAAAGGGATATTTTGTGTGTCTCAGAGCTAGTAGTTTTTCCAGGTATCCTGGTTTGCATATGCTCGCATCATTTTCTCCTAAGTATGCTCACTCATATTGAGCCTCTTGCTGTCTTGGAGGTAATCCAACTTTGAAAATGTGCACTCTGCATCAATAAATCCAGGGGGTACACTCAAAGCTCGCAGTGCTACTTTGCTGAAGTTGGGAAGTATGTCTTGATGACTGTTCCAAAAAGCCCATACATCCAGTTTTGCATTGTCAGGATTAGGCAAGTTCATGTAAGTAGTAAATTCCCCTTTCAGATTTGAAATCTTATCTTTAGTGGCAAATGGTTCAAAGGCTCTGGCATAATGGTCATAGTTTGCTGCAAAATTCACCTTGAGGAAGGGGTGCAACACCTGGATGACATTCCAAAAAGTATCTTCGGCACCAAACACTTTGGGGTTCAGATCATGGGTCATGGGCGTCTCCCATTTCTCGCTGAGTATTGTGTTGACCGTTTTGAATGCTTTTGTGGTTTTCTTGTGTTCTGGGGTCCGAAGGATTTCCAGAAATGGCTGAGTTTTCTCATCATATGTTTCTCCTGCACCTTTTGTGTTCAGTTCAGCTGAGATTTTGGTTGTCTGGATCCAGTAAACCTCTGTATTGGCAGTAGTCTGAGAAACACGGAAAACACTGGAATTATCACACAATGATTCCAAGTTTTCAACAGTGAACATTATCTTGGTGCGCAGAATCTGGTAGTCATTCTGGTTATTTGCCAGTCTCTTCAGAGTTTCTGCTTTAGAACCATCAAACTCGGGATGATCTAGAGATGCATTAGCACAATCCACGCATTATTTATATGACCGGCAGTGAAGTACAAGCTCTTCCACCAATGTGGCACAACAGGGGTAGATAATCAGCAGTCAGCTCTGCACTCATCTTGCACTGTGTAAAACAAAACCTTCAGCTTGTCTGCATGCTTGAAAATGGCCCCGAAGCCAGTGATGGAAGATTTCAACTCTTTCATTTCTTCTGTAGCAGTGGCTGCTTACAGCGCAACATTAATCAGATGAACAGGACAGGTAATATGTCGCAGCTCCGGTTTTTGAGTGAGTTTAATCTCCCATGCAAACGTAACCATCTAGGAAGCAGAATCTGTGTTAGTTGTGGCCAAGTTTTCCCAAGTTAGTTGGTACGTATCAAACATGTCAGTTATTGCTGTGTCGACAAAATGGGTGGCAGCAAATGGAATGAATGTCACATGAGCACAAACAATTTTGCTTTGTTTTCGTTTTTTATTTCAATCCGGTGTTCCAACACATCAGACTCGTCAAAAATCAGACTAGCGACCACATTGCCATCAGTTTACATACTAAAGCATCGCCATTTTCTTTCAGATACATATGAGTGAGGATGTCTGCATTAGGAAGGGTTTTTGCTGCTGGACAGTATTGTGACATGGTCACCAATAGGCCCTTCTGCAATTAACTAATTGTCCAGCAAAACAAAGAGCGCACACACACTCATTGACACAATCGTACTTCATTCTCTTTCATTAATGCGCTAGTGAAAGCTCCTGATATTGACTGTTTATCCCAAAGCTCACCACCTTCTTCAAGCATCTTGTGTTGCTTGCTTTCGACATGCTCCTTTATTCTGTCAGCATGAACACTAACCTCAGTGCTGCAGTACTCGCAGCGTAATGCATCCTCTTCACTCCCCTCTTTACTTTTCTTGAAAATTTCTAAGCACTGATTTTTCCTGCTGGTTTTCAGGCATAGATTTGCGTTTTCACCCCATGTTTCCCTTTTTACCTTATCTTTATCTGTGAAGGATTGATTGTTTAAATTCAGCGCCACACTAAACAGATGCAAAGAAATAGGTGGGCAATGTCTCCTTGTGAGCCAATAATAGTGCGCTATTAACATTGTCAGTTTTTCCGATCTCTACCGTGTGCGTGTTCTGTTTTACACTACAGAATTGCTTTAATCTCAGCGCTGCAGGACACAACAATCATGTAGTGTTAGTGTTTAACAAAGTAAGTACCCCCCAAAAATAGAGTGGATTGATAAATGGGTGTAAATCAGTAAAAACTGAACTACTCTTTAATTAAAAAAAAATGGTAATGGTGAAAATCGGTAAAAACTGAAAACACAGAACAGCAAGAATGAGACAGTTACAAATCATCATGAGGCCTAGAACAACGTACTTAAGTCAGCACCAGCCATGTTAAGACAGGTTTCAGAGTAGCAGCCGTGTTAGTCAAGACAATTGGTGATTCACACCAGAATAGAAATTCTTCCTTCGTTTCATTATCAAAAACAAACTAGGAAATATTGGAACCTGTGTGAAATCCAATATAAGTATTGGGGTAAAGTTCAAATAGAAAAAAAAATCACAAACTTAAAAATTAAGTGAACGCTTTTCAATTCATAATTACATTGAGGTTCTGATTTCTCTCCCTCCCCTCCTGTGGTGCCGAAATCCAACTTCATTAAGAGTTATGAATGCACAGTACCTTTTTTTTTTTTT